TCCCATGGAAAAAAATGGAAAGGAAAATTACTGTTCATTGCAGACCTACTGCATTCATCCATCAACTTTATAAGCCTGGTGTCCCATGTTCCATTAACTTTATAAGCCCTGGTATAAGAGAGTTCAGGCTCCAAGCCCCAGAAAACACCGACTCAATTGGCTTAAACAATAAAGGAACTTATTATATCACTTACACCAAGACACACAAAGCTAGAGTGGCTTTAGGGATGGTGGCTTGGCAGTATCAACAAGAACCCCCTTCTATCTCTCTTCTCCGTCAACTTTAGCATACTAGCTTTTTCTTTGGGTTAACTTACCTTATGGCTACAAAGTGGCTGCAGTAAATCCAGGCTTAACATCCCAATGCAATAATGGTTAGAAAGAGAAAGATACCTTCTCTTCCTTGGGCCTGACTTTAAAATGTAGGAGAACTTTTCTAGAAGCTTCTGGAAATTTCCTGTCACAGTTCTTTGACCAGAATTGTGTTACAAGACAACGTTTGAGCCCATCACTGCTAAGGGGATTGAAATCATCATGTTAGCTTAAATCAATCAAAATCACACCTAGAGGCAGAGGAAGGAGGGGTGTATACTGGGACAAAATGAGGGTTCTTTCAGCAGAGAAAAATAAAATCAATATTGGGGAGGAAACCACCAGTGTCAGCTACACCCTTGCTTTACAGAGAATAGTTTTATACCAAATTTCAGGGAGGTTAAGTCACGAACGTAAGGTCCCACAGCTGATAAAAATAGAAGCAGGGTTCAAATCCAGCTCTTTCAAACTCCAAAGCCCATCAGTGTACTTTTCCTGCTGTGTAGCCAGCCCCCGAGTGAGACTGCATTTCCCAGAAGAGCCCAGCACCCTTTCCCGCGGTAAGCGCGTCAGGAGTCCCGGCTATCGCCCTGCTCTCCCGAGCCCGACCTTCAGCTGGGCATTTAATCTGTTCATTAAGTTATGACTAATGGCGCTGCGAGACACCGAGGGCTGCACATGCAGACTTAGTTTTAGATTGTTAGAGGAGGTTGAAAGGAGAAACATCATATTCATATTCTAGGCCGAGAAAATTGAATTGCAACCCTTTCTCTTTCAGAGCACAGGGATCGGCGAGGGGCTTCTGCCGGGTCCTGCTTTGGTTTAATAGAAATGAAACCTGCAAAGCACGCGGGCTGTTTTGGGAACGGGGCCACTAATGCAGCCCCACGGGGCGGGGGCCAGGCCTGAGCTGGGCAGTTTGCATATTCACTTTTACAAACAGTTGGCTCCGAGTCAGCAGTTAATGGGATGGGAATGATGTTCCTGTACCAAATCATTTCCTGAAAAAAAAATTTCCAATTGCAAACATATCTCAGCCTTTCTTCTCGGGTTTGTTTTGTCTCTGTGAGTGAATTAAAGAGGCAGGGCAGAGGGGAGTGTTTCTGACTGGAGATTTTTCATCTGAAAACATTTTGAACAAGATCTACCCAGAAGAGATCCTGTTCGGCCACACCCTTAGGAGTCCTGGCGCATATATTACATTTCTAGTCACACATGAGAGGTGTAAATATCTCCATATTCACAGATTGGCTCTGGCTGTACAACAGTCTTGGGACAGAGGCGGCTTTTTTCTCTTGACAAAATGTAAGCTGAACATGCTGCTCTAGAAATATGCACACATATGTAAACACACACTCAGGGTCAGGCCAAAATAGGATTTTTTTTCCCCTAAGGACAAGCTGAAATCCTTCTTTGCATCCTATACACCCCTTTGGTAAATTGCGCTTCAACGTATAACCTATGCAGTGGAAGGGTGGTGGTCTTAACAGTTTTTTCATTTATTCAACAAATGGTTCTTGAGTCCTTACCGTAAGTAATAATAGCATATAATTACATATCTCTTACCAGGCACTCTTCTAAGTGCTTTACATATATTCAATCATTTAATCCTCTCAGCCACCCTAGGAGGTAGGCAGTATTATTATCATCTCCATTTTGCAGATAAGGAAACTGAGGTATAAGAGGCTGGTGAACTTGCCCACAGTCACCTAGCCAGGAAGTGGTGGATCCTGGATTGGAATCTAGGCAGTCTGGCTCCTCTTTGGAGACCTAATAGTGGACAAAAGAGAGAGTGCCAGTCTTCCCACGGCTTGCATTCTGTTGAGGGGGAATAGTTAACACACAGAGAAATAATCATTATTTCGGACGGTAACGAGTGCTGTGAAGAAAACACGACATGAGAGGGAGGCAGAGGGCTCATCAGAGGGTCTTGCAGGCGGTCTTAGTAAGGAGTGGGGTTTATTTGGAGAATGGAAGGCTTAAAGCAGGAGAATGTGGGATCCTGTTTACATCCTTATAAACCATCTGATTATGCGATGGAAAGTAGGTAGGGCTGGGGGCATGCGTCAGAAAGCAGTAGACCAGTTGGAAGGTGGTTCTGGTAGTTTAGTTGAAAGATAATAGTGGCCTGACCCAGGATGGTGGTGGTGGTGGTGGACATGGTAAGAAGTGGTTGGAAGAAGGTCCTAGTGTGGCGGTGAAGCCCACAAAACTTGCCAATGTGTTGGCTCAGATGGTGAGGAAGAAGAAGTGAAAGGTCATTTCCTCAGATTTTGGCTTGAACCACTATGTAAATAGTAGTGCCCTTTAAGAGAAGACTAGGGGATGGACAGGTCTTGGTTTAGTGTTGTTATGGCGGGGACGAGGGCGCTGAGACTCACGGGTTCTGTTTTGAATGTGTAAATTGGAGATCTCCATTAATAGACGTGAGGGGACACATCAAGAAAGCCTGGAGCTCAGGGTCAGGCCTCAGCTGGAGATTTTAAACGTGGACATCATCAGCATTTGGATACACGGGATCACCTAGGACAGGGCCATGCAACCGACTTTGCTGTGACAGTGGAAATCTGCATCGGCACTGTCCAGTGTGGTACCACTTGCCCTACCTGGGCCTTTGAGCACTTGAAATGTTAAAGATGCAACTAAGAAACTGAATTTTTTAGATATATTTTTATTGAAGTATAGTCAGTTAACAATGTTGTGTCAATTTCTGGTGTACAGCATAATACTCAGTTATATAGGAACATACGTATAGTCATTTCCATATTTTTTTCATAATAGGTTACTACAAGATATTGAATATAGTTCCCTGTGCTATACAGTGTAAGCTTGTTTATCTATATATTAGTTGGTATCTGCAAATCTCCAACTCCCAGTTTATCCTTTCCCACCCCCTTCCCCCATTGGTAACCATAAGTTTGTTTTCTATGTGTGTGAGTCTGAGAAATTGAATTTTCAATTCATTTGAGTTGTAATAGCCGCATGTGGTTAATGGCTTCTGTACTGGACAGCGCAGACCTGGCTAGGGGGATGTAAATGCAGAAGGTCCTGGGTAGGAGCTAGTCTCTTCACTGGCCAGCAAGCCCAGCCTCACATCCACACTGTGACGTGACTTTACTTCCACTGCCCGTAGCTCACCTGGTGGTGCTTGTTAAGTCATGGAAATCTTGCTTCTTTGTGAGAAACAGCCTGGAAAAGAAAGCAAACTGCTAGTGCTAGGAGGAACACTAGAAGAAATTATAGAAGTCTAAGGAAGCAATTGTTCTTTGGAAAGCAAACGCAATCCTATACTTACAGAATCATTTAAGCTTTGAAGGGTCACTTATAGTTTTCAGTTATGTTTTTATGGGTGGGGGGATTATATAGAGTAGTGGGTGTCTGTGACTTTGGAGAGTCGAGATGGTGACTGGCCGATATCCCATGTGAATGTCAAGAGCCCACAACAGCAGGACTAAATACCAGCTTCATAATGCGAGTTGTGTCTCTTTAGGGTCGAGTGGGTTTCACTCTCTTTGTTAGGCAATCTTGCTCCCTGTCCAACTGCAACCACCAGTGAGTTTGCTAATATGAAAGAACTCTTTGTAAGCAGCTGTCTTGTGCTTGAGGCTTCTTGCAAGTGTATGCTGGCAATCGGTGAAGCCAGAGTCAATAAAAAATAAAATAGAAAGATGGGACATTGCTTTTATTAAGGTTGATTACGGCTGCTTATCAGTGCTTTAAGAGCCTTTGGGTGACCAACACCTTCAGAGAAAATGGTCCTTCGGAGCTTCATTGTTGAAAAGTCATCATCCAAACTAGAACTGAGTAGAGGTGAAGGGATCTGAATCACCGCTTTTAAGGGAGGTGTTAATCCAAGGTCAGTGTTCAGCAAGAGTCCATCATACCACTGGTTTTGTGGTGGGAATTTTTATTTTTCACTAAGGCTTCATGTGGGGGATGCATGTGTGGAGGGAGCAGGCTGGACATCTATAGTGGTCCTTGACCTCTTGTGATTTTTCGTGTGAGGACAGTAGAGTTGTAGATTTCTAGGATTTGGAAACTGTAAAAGAACTTTTTTACTGGTCAACCATTGTAGCGCATCATGTCCAGCTGAGGAAACGGGCCTGGAGAGGTGAGGTGCCCGGCCCCAGGGCCCATGACTCCTTATTGCTGAAGGGACAGGTCCAGAGCCCAGGCTGGACGGGGGCATTCTCGAGCAGCAGCCCGAGGAAGGAGGGAGGATAATCAGAAAATTACTCAGGGAAACCGAATCAGGAGAGAAGTCAGCGGAGGGTTGACCCGAAGATGGAAACAATCTACAACACAAATGTAGCCTCCACTGGGGGACCTGGTTCATCCGATCCATGAAGAGTTGTCGGGCGCCCACTGTTCACCAGACAGCAAGCCCTTGAAGGAGGGATAGGCCAGAGGCGAAGGCAGAGCCTTAAGAAAGACATCAGTGCCCGTCTCACTTCCGTCTATTCTGACATCGTTTCTGAGAGGAGGCAAATTTCCATACCCGGTTTCTCAGGAAAGCGAGTGTGGTGACAGAAAAAGTGAGATGAAGGGGACAATTTGGTCCTTGTAGCAAGGAGAGGCAGGAATCGGTTGCAGGCTGAGTAACAGCTGCAGGCTAATGTGGCTTTATTTCTCAATTTCTCAATACATACCAGTATGGAGCACGACTGTGACGGAGCCCTGCCCCTAGTCCTCAGTGGGCTGCAGTGTGACCCTGTGCTTTCTTCCCGCAGTGTCAGAGCTTCAGGAGGAGGGCATGAACGCCATCAACCTGCCCCTCAGCCCCATCCCCTTCGAGCTGGACCCTGAGGACACGATGCTGGGTAACGGGGTCTCTTGTTCTCTGGGTTAGCCTAATGCCTTCATGTGGGACCACCCTGCTGACTGCCTTTTCTTTTTAAAGAGGAGAATGAAGTGAGAACGATGGTGGATCCCAACTCACGCAGCGACCCCAAACTTCAAGAACTGATGAAGGTAAGAGGAAATCAGAAAGGGGCTTCAGGTGCCTCCCAGACTCAACAGGTGTCTGTAGACCACCCGCCATGTGCAGGCACCACGGGAGCCCCTGCAGAGAGAATAGAAGGTCCTAGCCGTCCCTGTCCACAGGCAGCTTGTGGTCCAGGAGGTGGACATGGAAAACTTCACAGAAGGTGGGGCACGACTAAAGCCCAGGGAATGGCGTTGGTCATGAGTGCCAGAGGAGTTAGCGCGAGTAAGCGCACATTTGCTAGGATCTTATAGCTCACACAGTCCTTTCACTGCTTTTCTCAAGGACCCTCCAAAGCACCCTGTGAAGGAAGATTTAGTATTATCCCCATTTTACAGATGAGGAAACCGAGTGTCAGAATAGCCAGGTGGTGTGTGTATGGTCACAGCAGAGTGGAGGAGGTGGGATTCAAACAGAAATGAATGAGAGGAAGTGAAATACTGTGCGTAATGTTCTTTGCACAGTGGCTGACAAGTGGTCACCCCTCAAACAATGTTCATTTCATCCCCTTTCTGATTCCCCGTCCTGTGTTTTTCTTCTTCAACTTCTCCAAGCTGCACTTAAAAAACAGGACAAAAAGCACTGGATGCCAGAGTGATTCATTCAAAATGCTAATCTGAATATATCATTTTTCTGCTCAAAACCTGTGTGTCATTTCCTATGAACTGCAGGTTGAGGCCCACGCTCCTGGGGGTGGTTTGGGACTCTCCATGCCCTAGCTGCCTCTCCAACCCCAGATCGTCCCTGCCTGACAACACAGGACACCGGACCTGCTGGTGGTGGCTCCCTGTACACACCTACACTCTGCGCTCACTTCCAGCATGCCCCACCACCAGGCCTTTGTTCATGCAGTCCCTCTGCCTAGATGCTCTACCCACTCTTCACCTGCAGCCACAGCCAGGTCACATCCTCCAGGAAGCCTTCTCTAAGCCCCAGGCTGTAGCTCTACCCCTCTGTGTGCTGCTGTGGTTCTTGGATTTAATTCTGTCCTTGTAGTCACCACACGACGTCACGCCTACTTGTATACGTCTCTGTCTCCACCACTACATGGCGAGCCTCTGGGGGTTAAAAATTGTCTCTTTTTTTCATCACTGCACCCCCAAGGTCCAGCAGAGAGTGTGACGTATAACGTGTATTAATAAATGCTAGGTGGGTGGATGATGGATGGATGAAGGAGAAAGAGGGAGGGAGGGAGAGGAGAGAAGGAACGGGAAGGGGAAGGAGAGGGGAGCAGAGGCGGGGGAGGAAGCTTCTGCCTTAGGACAGTAGAGCGATGAGCAGCCAAGGCCCCCGACTCCACCCAGCTCCTGCCTGTGCTGTCAAGGCCGTGTACTTACGCCAAGTCACAGACGTCAAACACAAAGTCCATTTAAATAAAATGGCCAAAAAGGCAGAACTGCAGTGGTTGCCTGCGGCCCGTGCTAAGGGGAGGGGCTGAGCGCAGAGAGGCCGAGGAACCTCCTTAGGATGAGGGAACGGTCCTGTATCTTGATTATAGTATCCTCATAAATGGAAAAGAGGTAAAAACTGAAAAAGGCAGTGGCCTTGTGCAAGCTTCAGTTTCCTTGCCTGAAAAATGAAACTGGTGCTACTTGCCTCTCGGGGGGTTGTGTGGATTCACCGAGTGGGACGTCACCTGACACGCCGCTGCTGGACGCCTGATGCACGGAGGGCTCTCAGGGAGCGACAGGGGCTAAGATACGGACGGGAGAGGAGACTCTGGCCCCACTGACACGGAGCCTGGCGCAGGGAGGAGGACGCGTGCTTTGCAGAACAGCGCACGAGAGTCCGATTCCTGTCTCTGCCGACAGTTAGCTCTGTGGCCGTGGGCAGATATGGTTCCTTCTGTGTTTGATTTCTCCTCCTCAACATATTGGTGGCAGTAACCACCTGGCCAGACATCATAATGGGAGAGTGCGAAATTGATGAATAAAATATGCCTTTATCGTGCGCTTGGTCCTTGCCACTTGCAATTCTTTTCTGACACTTAATGTGAGAGGTATTTTCATGAATTTTAGAGATGAGGAATCAGAGGCTCAGAGCTTGCCTTAGATTCATGGCTCACAGAGGCACAAACACACACACGTCCATAGAACCCAGAGATGAAGAAATTAGTTAGTAGGTAAAGCAGTGGTTTCAGCCCCAGTTTGCGTAACTCCAAAGACCATACTCTTGCCCAGTACAAAGCCACACGGCCAAACACTGTGTGAATGTTGCTTACCACTGGGGTAGGGAATGGTAGGGGCCAGAAGATATTAGCAGGGACACGGGTGCCACCAGCACTAGAAGGGCTGTCACCTGAAAGTTAACAGCCACTGGGGCCCACTCACGGCTGCTTGTCCACATACGGGGTCACTGGACAGTTCTGCTCTCTTCAGAATCTGAGGTTCATTTATGTTGTCATTGTCCAGAATGAGAAAGCTGGTCTATAAGAAAGTACCCCGTGACTCTTATTCTCTCTCTCTCTCTGTAGGTATTAATTGACTGGATTAACGATGTTTTGGTCGGAGAACGAATCATTGTGAAAGACCTGGCTGAAGACTTATACGATGGCCAAGTCCTGCAGAAGCTTTTCGGTAAGAGGCGAGTTGAATGGCACAGTGGATGTCTTCGGTCTCCTAGTTTGGAACTGTTTTCCCTTCACAGCGGTTCACCTGGGACGGGATAGAATGCGTAGCGTGTCAGGCAACAGACAAGTAGGGCCGTCAGGTGTCCTCTTGGAGTCTCATAAATGAATTGCCTAGGGAGTCTCCACGGCCAGGTGGGGCTGCTCCGCCTCACCCTCTCCGGAAACCTGTGCACCTGTGGCCTCTGTAGGGATATTTGTGTGTGTGGAGGTGCATGTATGCGTCCGTATACCTCTGTCACCTGCGGACATGTGTACATGTGTGTGCGTGTGTGTGTACCTCTGTGATCTATGGCCCTGTGTGTATATCTCTAGGTTGGTGCAAGTGTATGTGCCTCTGTGACTGACGTTTGGCTCCTGTGTGTGTCTCTAGGTGTCTTGCCTCTGGAAAGGTGTGTGTCCCTGCGTCAGTTCACATCTGTTCGTGTGAACATGTCAGGCTGTGAGGGAGGACAAGGAGACTTCAGGGGTGATCTTAGCAGATCCACCTGAGTGGATTTGGACTTCCCCTCTCTGTTCCCCATTTTCTCTCATCCTAACCTCTGCCCCACGTTCTAGACTCTCCTTCTTAGCTGCCCACTAGGCCCCTCACGTTGAGCTCATCCACTTTCCTGAAGTCATTTCTTCCCCTCTGAGTGATTAGAAACCCTCTCCCTCTTCCTTACCCCCAGGGATGTGGGGTCTCCAAGGTCTGTTTCCTTTTGCCCAGAATTCTGTCCTGCATCCATCCTACTGCCACGTTCACTTGTCTGAACTGTCAGAACAATTTCCAGACTCACCTCTTTGCCTCCCATCTCATCTCCCCCAACCCATTTCCCACACTGCTAGTGGAGGAATGTTCTAAATCGCGAATCTAATCCCCCCAGGACTCTCTCCCTACCTGTGGACAAAGTCCCAGCGCGTTAGCACCGCATTCAAGACCTTTCATCCTCTGACCCCCAGCTGTCTGGCCAGCCTCACCTCCGGCCGCGCACACAGGTGGCTCATGTGATGTGGAGGGTTTAGAATAGTGCCTGACGCACAGTGCGTGCCGGTCAATGTCCTTCGTCATTCATTTCCATTGTTGGTGATTTATTGTTTACGAATGCTGTCACCACATGACTACACACACCTCCCTACTTTCACCCTTGCTATTCCTTCTGCCTCTGAGGCCCTTCTTCCTCCTTTATCCACCAGGGCAAACCATTACCGCCCATCCTTCCAACTTCTAGAGTCAACTGAATGTGCCTCCCTCTCACAGCCCTCACAACACAGTCACATCGGGGAGAGACAGTCCCGCGTTCTTCTGTGTTTCCTTGCATATAGATACACACACTCATATACAGAACATATGTGCCTTTATTATAGAGATGCATATATATAATATACATGCTGTTGTCATATAGACACACATATAATACACATGCCTTTATTATTATAAGACAGTTTACGTCGTTTGCTGCTGTTTATGTAAGCGTGTGTGAGCTTCTCAAGGGCAGGAACCATGCTGTATTTATTTGTCCAGTCTTCTCCAGTATTAACACATGTTGCTGAGCATGTAATCAATGTATATTGAATGAATGAATGAATAATATAAAATCTAGTCATTTCTAGGAAGCTAAGCTGATTTGGTACTCAAACATCAATATGAATGAGTGTTAATATTTAAAGGCTTGTAAATGCAACGGAACATGGAGAGGGAATGAGACAGGCGGAGATGGAAGAGCCATGAGCCCCACTGAGCATCTTTCTTAGTGACTGTAGCTTTTAACTCCACCAGCAAATTTCTAAGCAGGCTCTGAGACTGTCTCAAATTGTTCCACGCTGGGCTTTCAAAGCAAGGGTGGAACATGGCTGTGGAGCAATGGAACGTGGTTGTGAAGCAATCTTGCCTCCGGGAATGGTTACAAAACCTTCCAACATCACATCCGTGCGGCCCCGAGTCAGGCACCCAGTGCAAAGTCAGATTAGATCATTTCAGATCTCAACTTCATGTTGAAGAGGTGATTCACAACAGAGGTGCTGCTTCTTTTGTCAGCTCAAGTTTGGGTCCTTTGTGGGTCTAGGGCTAGACAGACACATTCAAAAGCCACAGGCAGGGTACCCAGTGGAGAGAGCGGGTTTGCAGTTAAAAACATGCATCAGGTGCTCCCAGGAGAAGGAATCGGTCTGGAGCTAGAGTTTTGGGTGACCCCCCCGACCTCGAGTTCCCCTCCAGCTATTTTTCTTTCTTCTTTCCCAACCAAGTTTCTCAAAAGAATGTTTGGCACTCCGTCTATCTGCTTCCTCACCACTAATCATTCCCTGTCGAGGTACGGGCTGGGTGCCACCATCTCTCCATCAACTTTTCCTCCCCGGGTCACCAGTGTCAGCTCAGACCTCCTCCTGTGCTGTGGCATTTGACACTGCTAAACATCCCTTCCCCCCTCCCCGGCCTGGAGGTTTCTTGCTTCCCTGGTTCTCTTGCACCTCTGATGCCCACTTCTCAGTCCTCCTCACACATTCTTTCCGTAATGGCTGGGGTTCTTCCGTCTTCCACCCCTGGCCCTCCTCTCTCTTTCTTCCATACCCTCTTCCTGTGGGGTTTCATCTCCTCCTACGATTTCAGCCGTCATCTATATGATCATCACCCTCATATCTACATCTCTGCAACGGCTTTCTCTTTGAAATTGTAAGTAAAGTTATCTTTTAACTGCCCTCCAAACATGCCCACCTGGATGTCACATAGTCACCTTGTATCCAGCCTGCCCCAGACTGAGCTAATAGTCCTCTTCAACACCAAACCCATTCCGTTTTCCACCTTGATGAGTGGTGTTACCACCACAGATTAGAAACCTGGGGGTCATCCTGGTTTGCTCCCTCTTCTTCCCGCACTGTTAGTCACAATTCTCGCAACCTTATTCCCATATATGTGTGTCTGTTTGTGTCAAACCCATCCCATTAGTACACGTGCAGCACTGAGAAAAGTGACTGGCTCGCTGGGTGCTGGGTGCTGGGAGCTGGTGCTTTCACCACTATCTTCCAGCCCTACTGCTGCCCCCAGAGCTCAGAACCTCATCGTTTCCCTTGGCTTCTCTGGCTGTGAAGTCCTTTGCTGCATGTTATGCTCTTCCCTGCCTTGAGAACACTCAACGGAGTTCTTCCAGATCTTCTTTATATTTCATGATTTGTCTTAACACTTAAACAAACTCATAGCCCATTCATCACTGTTTCTTGAAAACTTTTTTATTTTGAACTGGCTTTAGCTGTCTAGTGGACTTGCAGAGACAGCCCAGGGAGTTCCCATCTCCCTCCACTCAGCTTCCTCTCATGGTAACGTCTTACCAACCATGGGACAGGCATCGAAACCAAGGAGTTATCTTCAGGACACAATGCTTAGCTAAATCACAGAGTTTTTTTGGATTTCACCAGTTTTTACTTTCATGTCCTTTTTTGGTTCTAGGAGGTAATCCAGGATCCCCGATGACATTTAGTTGTCACATGTCCTGAGTCTCCTCCCATCCGGGACAGTCTTTCTGGTCTTTCATGACCGTGGTGTTTTGGAGAGGATTGGTTGGTTATTTTGCAGAATGGCCCCCGGTTTAGGTTTGTCTGATGTTTCCTCACGATTAGATTGCGGCTATGTGTTTCGGGGAAGGACACCACGGAAGTGGAGTGTCCTGCTCAGTGTGTCCTTTCAGGGAGGACATGATGATGTCAGCATGAATTGTCACTGCTGGTGGTCACCTTGACCGCTTGGTTAAGGTGGTGTCGGCCAGATATCTTCACTTTTTCTCTTTGTAATTAATATATTTGCAGGGAGATACTTTAAGACCGTGAATGCCTTGTTTCTCCTTGCACTCCTCCCACTAACTGCAGTCGGTGGAGCGTGTCTGCCGCAGTTGTCACTGTGGTGGCCTAATGGAGGTTTTCTGTTTTTCTGTTTTCCTATTCCCTCCGCATTCGTGAGTTGGAAGTCTTCTGTAAGGAAAAGCTGTCTTTTGTTTCCCACCTACTTATTAATTCAGTGTTAATTTATGTCAGTACGAGTGCAAGGATACTCACTTCATACTTTAGGTTATAATCCGGTGCTGTCATCCTTCATGTCTTGTTCATACACCTCCAGCCTCGACCACTGGGCGCTCCTTCAGGTTGGCTCCCGGGCACTTCCTGAACATGCTGCCCCGTATTTTTCCTTAGCATTTCCTTACTTTCTGATATCATAAGATGCTCCAGGCTCATCTTCTGTTTCACTTTTACTTTGGCCCTGGAATCAACTACCTCTCCAAGGAGCCGCAGGCTCTTTTATTAGAGAATGATGTTTAGAAATTAGTATCTGGGCATTTTACTTTGTGTTTTTAACTTGCTACCTGTTGCACAAATAAACATCTCTGTGTAGGGGTGGTACTATTACCTGGTGGTACTAAGGTGAATCAGGTATGATCATTTCCACAAATTCAGCTTCAGACTGTGCTGGAGCTGATCATGGAGAGTAGGAAGGGGCTGAGTTTGGGACTAGGAAACTTAACTATGAAATACTGGCACTTAAAAAAAGAAAAAAGTGGCATAGGGACCTCCAGGAGTCCAGATGTGCCAGCGTGGGGACAGGATATGGATCTGGATTCCAGGAAGCCATGCTGGTGACACCGTGGAGCAGGGACTCAACCCACAGATTAACAAGATGCTGAGGCAGGGATCCCCCAGCAAAAGGCTGCGTGTGTTATTGTTACGATGAAATTCTGAAGAGGTGAGCATCCCTGAGGTGACAGGTGAACTGTCTGCTTGGGTGTTCTCTAATAATGGGCTCTGAGAGGGGGCATCATGCCTGGTGTGGCCAGATGCTACTTGCTCAGCCTCAAAGTCCAGTCTGCTTGCCCTTCTCAGGGTCCCTAGGCATGTCTAGGGGGTTATTCTGGCACAGCCTCCCCCAGGTCCTTCTCTCCGAGCTGCCTAACCCAGCTGCCCACTGCTGTCTCTGTGCTCTGTGTCTTC